TCCAGTCTCAGAGTGACATCTGACATCCCCCCCCCATAAAGACTTACAACTACTTCTTGCCCCTTCTTTCACCCAGAATGGTGTGGCCGTGAAGCTGGGCCTTTAGTGCCAGCTAGATGTGCATTTTTACCCCGCCCTTGTCTCTTTTCACCTGTTTATCTTGGGCACCCACTTTGCCCCTCAGCCCAGAACTTCAACTTCCGGGGGTCTGTAAGATGAGGACCATGGCAGCACCCACCTTGTAGGGCTCTAGCGTGGATCAAACAAGAACAAACTCGGGGTGCTCAGCACTCAGTCATAATAACCACTTGACGTGAGAGCTGGAACCATCCAGGCTAGCTGTCATTACTGGCCATTTACTCGTTCAACAAGCATTTATTAAGCACTTACTGTGCCAGGGGCTCTGCATACAATTAAAGCATTTGATAATATCAGAGGTAGGTCCTATCATCCGCATTTTATTTTATTTTATTTTTCATCCTCATTTTAGATAACCTTTTCCCTTGGGGGAGGGATGCTTAGTATTCTCAGACAATTTCACGTCTTAGGAAATTAGAGTACCAAAAAATCCTGGGTGGTTCCTCCCCTTTTCCCCAAGATCAGGCATTATGAGGCAGCACGACACAGGGGAGAGGAGAAGGATTTGAGTTTAGGTTTGGATCCCAGTGCCTGGAAGCCGTATACTTCACCTCTTATGCATTCTTTTTTTCTCATCTCAAGAATGGGATAGCAATACCCATTGCTTTGTGGAAATCAGAGAATTAAAGGGTCGAGCTTGTATAAAGGACCGAAAACAGTGCATGGCACACAGACCTCAAAAAGGGTTAGTTAGTATTATTTGTGGGAACACCTAAGAAACTCCTCTGCCTCCCTGACGTCCCCCAAGGGCAGCCATCCCAGGAGACACCCCTCCTGGGCAAAGCTCACTCCTCACCCAGCACACCGTCCCACCAGTGCTGGAGAAAGACTGTGGGCAGGACGCGTGGGTTCAAAGGCCAGTGCCTCCTGCTATCAGCTGTCAGGCCTTGGTGGGTGCCTTTCCCTCTCACCTGTCAACTGGGGATAATCCCTGCACCTTCCTTAGGAAACGGAGCCAACAGCAAGGACAAAAGCAGTTACTGAGTGCCCACTGTGGCCAGGCACCCTGCTGGCTGTGTAGGAGTCGCCCAGGTCCAGGAGGATGAAATGAAATAAGCTTGTGCAGGGTTGAGCTCAGTACGTGCATGCTATGCGCTGCAAATTGAATGCATCATACTCAAAAATGCATACGTGTGCTAGATTTTTACACAAAACATACACACACATGTATGTTACATCTTCTGTATATTGCTTCCACGTTCGTTTTCTCATTCATTCCCACAAAACAGCCCTGGAGGATAGGCAGGGCAGAGATTTTATTCCATTTTCACTGATGAAAAGACAGGCGCTGGGAGGTTGAAATTAAAAGGCTGATAAACTGGTCACCAGCAGCAGGAGCTGGCTGGGCATTTTAAAGACAGAGCCAGCGGAGGGCAATGTTCCACCTCGAATCTCTCAGCAGACAGCCGGGGCCTGGGGACGGGAGGCCTTGGGCTGGGAGGTTTGGTGGCGGCCTCCGGGCCCAGGGCGCCCTCGCCACGCGGGCAGGCGGGCGGCGGACACGCCCCGGGGCGCACACTTGCCTGCTCGGGGCTGCCGGCGGGCAGAGGCGAGCGCGAGCCCGGCGCGACGCTGGGTGGCGCTGCCGGTCCGCCCCGCGCTAGACCTGTTGCGTCCAGGGCGCAACTCGGGCAGGTTTGGGGTAGAGGGGCGCTCCGCTCCCTCCGCGCGCCCCCGGCAGCCCCGGCCGCTGCATCTCCCTCCCGGCGCCTCACGCCCACCTTCGCTCGGGGCTCCCATCCGTGCAGCCTCTGCGTGCCCCACCGCAACCGTCCTAGGCGCGTCGGGTGGGGCGGGAATAAAGTTTTTCCAACCCGGTTTGGGGAGAGGGCTGGATCGGGAGGACCCTCCCCGCTGCAGACTCCATGGCGGGCTGGACTGTGTCCCCTCGGCTTCACAGCCGTCCCCGGGGCTCTGCTTTCGGTAGGTGCCAGCCCCGAGAGGGCCGGATGGGCTGACCTGTGCACCACCCCCTCCCACCTCCTCCCACCCCGTCCCCATCCCCTTCCCCTCCCCCGCCCGCCGCGCGCCCGGGCCCCAGCGTCTCCGCCCCGCCCGCGCCGGGGTCGCTGCAGTCCCCGCGGCTGCCCCGGGCTCCCTGCCCAGGCGCCCCGGCCCTGCTCCAGCCTGGGGAGCGCCTCGGGGGGAGTGCGGGACGGCGAGAGAAGCCGGGGCGGGGGCCCTGGGCGCCGGATCTCCCCGAACCGGGGAGGTGGCCCCGACTCCGGGAGCCGGAACGCAGGGACAGGCAAGGACGGGGCGGCCGGCGGAGGGGCGGGCGCCGCTCATCAGCCACGCCAGTCACGTCTGGGGCCACTCGGCTGCTTTTTTCTTCCTTTCCCCCTGTGCTTTCTCCCCCCTCCCCGGTTGGCGAGGGCAAAGTGGCCGTGGCGGCGCCATGCCCGGGCCGGAGTGAGTGCGCGCGGGCGAAAATGGCGTACATCCAGGTAGGGCTGGGGCCGGGGGCACGGTCCGGCCGGGGTGGGGGGCCGCGCCCCCTCTGGCTGGGAGCGCGCGGGAGGGAGGGCACGCGCCTAGGCTCCCGCAAACTTGTCTCGAGAAAAAGGGTGCGGAGCACAGGCAACCTGTGCAGCAGCGGCCGTGCGCCCCGGGAGCAGTCGCCGGGGACCCCCAGACCCTGGGATGGAGGGCGCTATGCGGACTCCGCGCGCGCGCCCTCGCCTCCTGCGGAGGGAAGGGGGGTGGGGCGGGCTCTTCTCCCCCCTCCCCCAGCCCCTGGCACCCCACCCCAGGGGAGGGGCCGCGGGGAGGGCGCCCGGGGCGCGCCAGCCGCCTGGCCCGCCAGCTGCCGTTACCGTGGCGACGGCTCCGGCTAATTGGCCGGCGGAGCGAGCCTGAGGCAGCTGTTCCGGCCAGGAGGGACAAGGACGTCGTCTCTCCCGGGCACTGGGTGCTGAGGGGTGGGGGACACCCAGAGGCCAGAGGCGCGCTGGCGAGGGGGAAGGGAGTCGGGGACTCTAGCCCATCGCATTGGGGTGTGGGAGATGTGGACCCCACCACCTTGGAGAAACTCCCCCAAGAAGCCGTGAGCTGAAGTAATTTCCAAGCAGCGTTTTTGGGGGCTAGGCTGGACTTCTTGATTAAGAAACCCCGCTCCTCTGCAGGGAGGGAGGTGGCCACAGGTCAGCGCCAAGGTCAAGCAGGCAGACCCGCAGGGAGACCCGCTGAGCCGCTGGCTTCTGGGGCTGCTGGCTCCTCCTAGCCCGGCAGAGCCGCTCACGGGCTCCCACGTCCAGGCTGCATCTCGGCTCACTTCTTGTCCCCTCAGCCTGACATGGGGGCCTGCTGGTCCCCTGGTGGCCCTCTGGTTTGCACACCCCTGCATCTCGTCCTCAGACGCTTCAGTCTGCGGGAAACTGTGCTGTCACCTGGCTGAGCCTCTCCCCTTCCTCTCCTGGCTTGATTCCCTGGATTGCCTTCCCTGTCATGGCATCGCCGGTTCCTCCTCTCAAGTTCAAGGAAGGTCACATTTACTATACGCCCGTGTGCCCAACGATGTTGAGGGGCTGTTCAACAGTCGCTCGACACACGCGTGGGTGACCCCTACTATGTGAGGATACAGTGGTGAAGACTGAAGAAACGGGCATTGTAACAGGCTTCTGGGGTTCTTAATGACCACCTTCCAGGGCCACACAGCTGCCTGGGGGTCAAGGTGGGATATAAAACACAAGATCGTGGGGACCGGTGAGGGACAGGTTAACCATCTCTTGTGAGGATGGCCCCATGATGTTGGCTTTCCTTCTAGAACAGGGGTCCTCAAACTTTATTTAAACAGGGGGCCAGTTCACTGTCCCTCAGCCCATTGGAGGGCTGGACTATAGTTTAAAAAAAACTATGAACAAATTCCTATGCACACTGCACATATCTTATTTTGAAGTAAAAAAACAAACAGGCAAAAACACCCCCATGTGGCCTGCGGGCAGTAGTTTGAGGATGCCTATTCTAGAAAAAGGTGTTAAACTTTTTCTGTAAAGTGCCAGATAGTATTTTTTTTTCTTTGCGACCCACATGGTCTCTGTCACAACTGTTGGACTCTGACTGTGGCACCCAGGCAGCCACAGATAGCAGTAAACAGGTAGGCGTGGCCATGTTCCAATAAAACTTTATCCGTAGACATCAAAATTTGAATATTATGTACTTTACACGAGTCAGGAGGTATTGATCTTTTGGTTTTTTCCAGCCATTTAAAAATGCACAAATTATTCTTAGATCGAGGGCTGTACAAAAACAGGCTGCCAGGCCGGCCCTCTGTTTGGAGTGGGTTCTCCTTCCTCTTTCTGGCTCCATCTGTTCTCTTCCCTTGGTGTTAGACACAGGGGCCTGGTGGACCCAATGCAGACCCCCTTCCCTTTTCTCTTTCATCTTCCTCAGTTTCTCTTTGTTCCCCAACCCTCATCTTGTACCTGACACTTGAGCAGTCTCAGTGGTTGTTCCTCAGCAAGGGCATGAAGTGGCCTTGTCTCTGGTCACCTTTGTTTTATAAATGGTCTTTTTTGGCTGGGCGCAGTGGCCCACGCCTGTAATCCCAGCACTCTGGGAGGCTGAGGCGGGAGGATTGCTCAAGGTCAGGAGTTCAGAACCAGCCTGACCAAGAGCGAGACCCCGTCTCTACTAAAAATAGAAAGAAATTAATTGGCCAACTAAAAATATATAGAAAAAATTAGCCGGGCATGGTGGTGCATGCCTGTAGTCCCAGCTACCCAGGAGGCTGAGGCAGGAGGATTGCTTGAGCCCAGGAGTTTGAGGTTGCTGTGAACTAGGGTGATGCCACGGCACTCGCTCTAGCCCGGGCAACAGAGTGAGACTCTGTCTCAAATAAAATAAAATAAAATAAAATAGTCTTTTCTGACCATCACATGTCCAGGAAATGCTTCCCTAAATTAAGGGAATCACCATGGATTGTTGTGGAAAAGTATCACTTTATCTTTGCCCTTTATCTGAGCGTGTTAAAGCACTTTCTCATGGAAGCCCCATGAGGGCATGGCTTTCTGCTGCTTTCTTCTCTGTTGTAGCTGCCGGAACACTACCTGGCGCCTACTAGCTTCCACTGGGTCTTGACAGCTCGCCTTATTCTCCTGGCAGAAAGGGTACATTTTATTTTGCAGCCAGGCAGCACGAAAGCATTTGCAGGGTGTCCTGTCTCTTCTCAGCAGCACCCCTCAGAGGTAGGGAGTAGCTCTTCCACTAAAGAAGAGGCAACTGAGGCTCAGAGAGGCCCCCTGACTTGCCCACGTCTCGTGATTGGTTGCTTGTGAGGCCAGGACTAATTCTTCTCTACCCAGGGGGTGATGTGGCCCCTCAGCACCTTCAGGTCTTGTTCTGTGTATGGTTTGGGTTGCAGTTTTGGAAGAATGTGTTGGGAGGGCCTTTGACTGTTTCCCGAGCTGCAGTTTATTCCCTTACCACTTCAAGGCTTTTGAATTTTTCACGGGCCATGTAACTATTCCACCACCTGTACTATTATTAACTTAATTTTTTTTTTGCTAAAAATGGAATTTTTATTTTTACTTTAAAAAATCATATGAAAAGGAAACTTTATGACACTGCGGTGATAGAAAACCGGGATCACGTGATATGAGCAGAAGGCAACTGGAAAAATAAACACAATGGGAATAACGCCACATTATTGAATTCCAGTGGGGTATGGCTACCTGCAAGGCTCTTCAAGGCTCTGAGCTGGGAGTCTGCTTTCTTCTTTTAAATAGAAGGGCGGGGGGCGGGGGGACGAGTAAGCTGTAGGGTGATGTTAACATCCAGTGGTACCAATCTGAGACCTTCTCCTCCTTGAAAGAGAATTGGAAAAGATAGTAACTTTCTCTCTCTTGATGCAAAGTTCTGAGTTTGGGACGCACCTCAGTTCACCTCTGGGGTTCGCCTAGGCTGGGATGCGGGACCCCTCCTCACCTGCGTGGTTTACTTGGCCCGTTTGGAAAGCCATCTGCAGGAGGAGGAGGAGGAGTGAGCCTGTGCCTTGGGAAGGCGGGAGAAGAAGATGGGGAGGGGGGTGGGGCCACAAAAGAAACGGAGGCCCTCCCTCCTCAAGAGGACCAGATTGTGGCTTCCTTTTGGGTTCCCTCTGTTGTGGGTGGTCATATGCAGCTCCCCACCATCACCATTGGAGCAGAATTGGAAGGTAGGGACTCCAGGAGGGCGGGGGAGCCAAGTGACATCCACTCTGTGCCTGCCTGCACGCTAGCTAATCATGTCCTTTTGGGTTGGCTTCATGGCTATTTCTGTATAGGAAGGTTTGCTATTCTCCTGGAGTGTGGCTGCATTGGATAGCATGACTATCTATCCGCCCGCTCTGATTCATAACAGCATACGGTGCAAATCAAATCGAAATGCTAAAGTTTCCCATTTATTCGGTGTTGGTTAACCAGGAGGCTACCAGCAGCCCTGAATATAGCAACACCTTGTTAGCAAGTCACCTCCCTTCCCAGGATGGTAAGTGGAAAGATGCAGGGCTTTTTTTTTTTCTTTCTGTCTTGTTTTGAGTTGCTGGAATATTGCTAAACTGGTCTTGTCTCTCTCTTTTTGTAACCCCTTCACCCCCTTACGCCCCGTGGCTTCATCATGGATCTCTAAAAGGGCAGTTGGAACCATTAAACGAGGTGGGTTAATTGGATGATTTGTTTGGTCTGGTTTTTAATCAAGAAATGCTTGCCTTTCGTTTGGGAGCCTTAACATAGAGCTGTGTGGATATTGAGTACTAAGCAATAACCCGACGCTGATAACAGCACAGATTCCATCCCTTTCTACCGAAAGGAGATCCCCGTGAGGCAGGCACTAGTTGACAAGTTTCCCTCCCCATCCCCTGCTCATTCCATTTGATTATCTCTGTCTCATGTCACTGAAACAGAGATTTTTTTTAAAAAAAAATTTTTTTTCCTTTGCTTTCAAGAAGACAGAGTAATATTCATTGTGTTTCGAGAACATATTGTATAGCCCTCCTGATGTACAAACCACCCACACGTCAAGAAAGACGTTCACGTAAACTACAAAAGAAAATACCTGCAAATGTTTTGCCTGCTACCGATGGCTCCAGCGAGTTGATGTTTGCTGTCTCTGTGCCCGCAGTTGGTAAATAGAGATGGGAAACATTTTGTTCTGAGAGCTCGGCAGCAGGGCCAGAGCTCCCGAACGTCTTTATTTCTCATCAGGGATCGGCTGCTTGTAATTTGGGATCTTGTTTCTCCTCTCCCCTTCCCCACTCTTCCCACCTCCCCCCCCCCCATGGCCTCAGGGTTTTCTTTCTAGAATCTCTGATCTGCTGCTGTGCAGATGGACCTGCCGGCACTGCTGTCAGAAGTGCTACGAGTCCAGCTGTTGCCAGTCGAGTGAGGATGAAGTTGAAATTCTGGGACCTTTCCCAGCCCAGACTCCTCCCTGGCTGTAAGTAAAACTGCTCTGAAACTTCCTGGAAATCAATTTCAAGACCTTTTTTTTTCTCTCTCTCTTTTTCTGGAGGGGGTCAGGCGGGGGTGGGGTGGGGGTCAGGGCCACAGGAGGAGGGATTTGGGGGTGTGAAGGAGGAGAAGCTGAGTTTCCATTGACACCTTTGCTGCGGGTGGGGCTGAGTGCTGTGCTCCTCTTGTAGTTTGGCACGCTGGCGAGACCAGCTGGCGGTGGGGCTTCAGTTCAGCTGCCTTCCCATCGGGCCTTCTGAGATATGAACCGCGTAACGCTAAGTGTGTGGGCACTGCTAGTCACGTGGCGTGGCGTTCCCAACAAAAAAAAAAAAGAGATCTGTGAGCACCTATATTCTTCAAGCCTTGACCAAGTTCTGAGGGTTTCTATCCAAGTCTGTGTGATAGGTTGTCTTAGCACCTGGTCTAGTGCCTGCCCATAGTAGATGCTCAATAAATATTTGTTGCATGGATGGGCGGGTGGAATGAACAAACAAGTGCCTTTTTGCTGGTCTGAACAAGAACTTCAGAAACAGGGAAGCAGAAAAGCACCTCCAGGCTCCATCCTGTCCTCCAACGCTGTTTATGTTCTCTCTGGCATCTTTCATTTTATTTCCAATTTGCTCTCCTCCCGCGCCTGCATACAACATCTCCATCTGCCAGTCGCTCAGATATTTTGGGAACGCAGTTTTGAAGCTTCTCAGCCACGTGTCTGGTCCACCTCTCTCTGGCTGGGAGAGGGATGTGGTCAGAGTGGATAGATCCAAGAAGGCCGGGGCTGGGAAGGGTCTGGAAGTCCTGGAGTGCAGCTTCCCTTGATCTGTAGGGGGAGGCCCGGGGAGGGAGGGAGACCACACCAGGCCCACAGCTGGAGCCTGGTAGGGGTGGGGTAGTGCTGTCTCAGCAGAATCCTTGGGCTGAGATTCCAGAAGTCTCTAGCGCCTCAGGCCTCTCATTTTTCTCTTCTTAGAAGCAAGTATCAAATATTTTCCCTGGCAGAGTGGCTTTGTGTCAGACAATGTGAGTTCCTATCCTATTTCTACTACTATTTTCTCGTTCTGTGACCTTGGGCAAGTTGTTTGATCTCTGTGTGCCTTGATTTCCCATCGGTAAAATAAGCGTGATAAAAAGAATAGTATTTATCTCATAGAGTTGTGGCAGCTGATAAAAAGAATAGTATTTATCTCATAGAGTTGTGGCAGCGATTACACGAATCTGTATATGGAAATGCGCTTAAGAATGCCTTGTTGGTAATCATAATGTAAGGGATTCTCTTTTCCCTATTTTGGTCTTAGTTTTTTCATCTGTAAGATGGGCATAATAAAGCACTTTTATAGGGTTATTATGGAGAGTTGATGAGATATGCTTACACGGTGCTTATTAGCACAGTGGTAAAAGGTCTGTAAGTATTCATTTCTGTCATTATTAGGTATTGGTAGAGATGCATTAAACCGATGGAAAGGCCATATTAAGGAACTCTTCCATGATTCGTGAGTTGTGTGTAGAGTTGAGATGTTTGGTAGAAGCAACTCATTGATCAAGAGCTAACACCCATTGTCCAGTGGTCTGCCTGGCCGAGGTTAGCTTAGCCCATCTGGCGTCTTTAAAGCTATGCTCACAAGAGTGCCAACTCTGCTGAGGGCAGGGATTTTTATCTCTCTTGTTAACTAAAAAAAAAATTATTGTTGGCCAACTGACTGACCTACAGGCAGCAGTTGAATCCTGAAAGTGCCAGTCATCCAGTTGAAAAGTGCATCTCAGTTCCTTTGGTAGTTATTTCGCAAGTACATAGTGTGCCAAGCACTGTGGTGAGTGCAAGGCTAGATAGGGTCCCATGACCATGCTCAGGGGATTTAAAATCTTGTTAGAGGAGATGAGGCAGGTATGTAAGTCTAGCTACCTGCTAGAGTTGTGCATTCACACCCTGCATACTATATAGGACAGCCCTGCATACGGTCTTGTTGTGAAAAAAATCCAGGGATAATGGCTTCAGGCATAGCTGGATCCAGGGGTGTAAATGATGTCATGGAGTCTCTCTCCCCCTCTCTCTGTTTCTTCTGTATTGACCTCACTTTTAAGCTTGCTTTCTCCACATGGCAGCACTAGACTTACATTTCAGATGCCATGGCATCTGAAAACCAGGAAAGACTCTTACTGGCCTGGCTTGGGTCATGTACCAACCCTTGACCCAGTCACTCTCACCTGGAGGGAACAGTGCTAGAGTCGTGCCGGGTCGCCTGCCCACCCTGGAACCAGGGAAATGCCCATTCCCACCCGAGACGCATGAACTAGGCTCGTACGCCAGGGGTTGGCAAGCTTTTTTTTTTTTTTTGTAAAGGACCAAATAGTAAATATTTTAGCCTTATGGGCCATATGGCCTCTATTGCAGCTACTTCTGCCGGTGCGCAGAAGCACAGTACGTAAATGAATGGGCATGGCTGTGTTCCCATAGCATGTCGTTTGCAACATCAGGCGGAGAACTTGGCTCTGGAGTTTGTTGACCCATCTAGTAGACAATTGGGGTGTTGTGACCAGGGAGGAGGGAACAGACCCGCGGTGGACAGACACCACACAGGGATCTTGAATGCCAGATTTTCTTCTGCGGCAGTGGAGCCCCCTCACAGATATTGAAAATCACAGTCAGACACCTGTTCGCCCCCCAGATGCCCAGCTGTTGAGTGTCACAGATGCACAATCCAGGTTGAGACACTGAGTTGGGGGACAGCTGTGTTTTTCCTTGGTGGCTGACCCTTGTGCAAGCAGGGGACCCTTTTGGGGGGCAAGAGGGCTGGGACCCTCGGGGTGAATGCTTCTTTTGGTTTTTGCCACACGTAGACAAGTGGGCTGGAACTCCCCCAGCAGGGCCAGCACACCACGCACCTCCAGGTGGCGCCATTCACGTGGTGGCCATCATTCATGGCATGGTCTAGAGTCCTGCGGTCCACAGCCTGAACAGCCAGACGGGAGCTCCGTGCTTCCTGGGGTGAGCCAGGTCTCTCCTGAACCCTGGGCAACTCTTACTGCATTTTTGGGCACCCAACACAATGCAAAATGGTAAGAGAAATCCGTAAAGGGGAGGTGGGTTAAATCATTCAAGAAGCAAAATTTACAGCTTGTGCTCTCCCCAGATTTGTTTACCGAATGGGTAGTTGCATGTTATCAAACAGGCAGAGAGTGAAAATGTCAAGCGTATGGGCTTTGCAGCGCTGTTCCACAGTGACATCTGAGTCAGAACCGCAGGACGTGCCTCTGTGGACTGGCCTGTGGCAGATGAGCTGGCCCCTGTGTGTGCTCTGCGTGTGAGCCTGTGACCATTAACACACCGTTAATGGCCACGTATGATCATGTCCCGTGTGCCCCCAGCTGCCCTTGGCTGGGCTGGGCTGGTGAAGGTCAGGGAAACTGTACAGTCTAACTGGTTCCTTTCGGGGCAAGGCCAGAAAAACCCTTGAGGGGGTAATTGAGGAGTGAATTGAGGTCAAGTTGTTTATTTGTTTGTCCAAAAAGCATGTGTTGAGTACCTACTATGTGCGGAGCTCTTATAGGTCCTGCAGAGATGCCCTGCTTAGCCGTGGGAACTGTGCCATCCAGAGTTTATAATTGCTGAGCTCAGTTTGGGTTCTGCCACTCAACAGTGGTGCAAATTGTTACCTATTCTTTACCCCACCCCACCTGGGGCTTCCATTTACCATCTGTAAAGGGTGGGGTAGTTAATAACAATTAACATCTGGATTTTGGGGGGTTTTTTTAGACAAGGTCTAACTCTGTTGCCCTGCCTGGCTAGAGTGCAGTGGTGTCATCATAGCTCACTGCAGCCTCAAACTCCTGGGCTCAAGTGATCCTCCTGCCTCAGCCTCCCGGGTACCTGGGAATGTAAGTACACACCACCATGCCTGGCTAATTTTTGAAAAGTTTTTTTGTAGAGACAGATCTCACTGTGTTGCTCAGGCTGGTCTTGAACTCCTGGCCTCAAACAATCCTCCTGCCTTGGCCTCCCAGAGTGCTGGGATTATAGGCGTGAGCCACTGCCCCCAGCCACTCCTGGATTGTTTTAAGGATGAAATGAGATGGTTGGTACGGAGCATTTAGCACAGTGCCTGGCACACAGTGGGTGCTAGCACCCAGCACCTTTGATCATAATACATACAGATGTCACCATTCAGAAGTGTGTCCTAGTATGGGAGGGGGTGACAAGCCATGCACTGGGATCATTGTGCTGCAGGATAAGAACCACAAAAAGGGTGCATCCACTCACTCACTGGGAAAAGAAATGCGGAACAGCCCGGGCATGCCAGGCACCACGCTAAGGTGGGGTGGGCCGTGGTACATGCGGCAGACGCCGTCCCTGCCCACATGGGGCTGTGGCTTAGTGTTGGATGCAGAAGATGAGTCAGCAAGCCACAACTAAAGATGAGTTATGTGCAGGACGGGGGAGGGAAAAAAGGAGGTGTCAGGATAGGGGCTGATGGGGTGGGACAGGCCTTCGGGGACAGGGTGGGAGCCTCTGAAGCAGGGACCCGAATGATGAGGAGGAGCCAGGCAGGTAAAGGGGACAGGAAGCATATTCTGGGCAGAGGGACCATTGCTGGGCACATCAAAGGGCCAGGCGGCCTGGTGTAGCGGAGTGGCTTAGGGCAGATTCAGGCCAGCGTGTCCGAGGGCCTTCAGAGGGCAGTGGCATTAAAGCCGGTCCTTGAAGGCTGGTGGGACTTCACAGGAGGGGTGGCCGCTGCAGTGCAGTGTGGCTGCAGGATTCATGGCCTTGTGGTGGCCAGGGGCCCCGGTGGCTGTAACGTTTTCGTCCTGCCTTCCTTGGAAGGTGGCATTGCTTTCATTTACGGGAGAGAGAGAAGAAAGATGGATACAGAACGACCCCCCGGCTCTGCCCCTACACCCCCCCCCATTTCATCCTCTATCTTCACTTCTTACAGACCAGGAGCTAGAAGCAAGCAAACATCCCATTTTCCCCTGGTAACATACCCGGACTTGCCTTGGCTGTGCCCCTTGTATCGCTTTTGAAGAACATCAGATCAATCTCATTTCATGCACAGGATGCATCTGAAGACCTCACAGAATTCAAAACTTGCATTTTTCCAGATGAGTTTCCCTGCAGGCTTAAATGTCAAGCTGGGGGGATGTGGTCTCACCAGGCATAGATCTGCAGCCATCAAGGCTCGGGCGTGTGTTAGTAGCAGCATCCGTCTCAAAGCCACACCACAAGCTTTTCCACCTCCTTTCCCTCCCCAACCCCCCACATTCTTACCTAGAGTATTGGCGGCGGGGATCTTAAAGCCACCCTTGTTGTAATAATATGAGCTGAGCCGGGCATAGGAGTGCACTTGTATTGCCAGCTACTCAGGAGGCTGAGCCAGGAGAGGATCAGGCCAGCCTGGGCAACATAGTGAGACTCTGTCTCTTAAAAAATAATTTAAAAAACAAATTAAAAAAAAAATGTATTGAGCATCTACCTACTATATACCAAATGTTCTAAGCATTTTATGTGTGTTACCTCATTCAGTGTTTACAGCAAAAATATAAGATGGGTACTGTTTTTCCCGTTCTACAGAGGGGGGAACAGAGGCACAGAGAGGGAAAGGGGTTTGCCCAAGGTCACCCAGCCAGGGTTCAAACCCAGAGGTTGGCTCATAGTCACTACCCTGTATCATCTCATCCGTTCCCCATCTTGCGTGTCTTAGCGTTTCTCATCATCGTTGGGAGCACGGTGAGTCATGGGTACTTCTAATTCATAGCTGCTTCTCGGCACCAAACTTCTGTTCTTAAATCGTCGATTCTCCGTGCTGTTTTGTAGCTGTAGTTCTGCCACTCAAAGAACCCTTGAGTGACATTGTTATAGGATATTTTTAAAAGACGTGAAATTATAGACACAGTGACTGTTAAAATAGCAGAACGCTTGCTCCCCAAAAGCCATCTGCAGAAGTTTGGATGCATATGCACAGCCGCCCAGTGCACTCCGGACTGAAGAGTGACAGGTGTCCGGCTTCACTTAGCCGAAGTGGCGCCCCCATGTGGCAACAGCCTAAGTTTACCCATCCCTCCACCCAACCCTCACTTTGAAATTATGCACATCCTTGACAGATTGTTCTAAATTGGGGACTTATTTCTTCATATCATTTCACATTTTGTGCAAAAAGCGAGACACTGTTGAGAGTTGAAGGATACCACACTATTTCAGATTTGCGTTATTCCAAGTTGCATAAAATGGGTCTGGGAGCCGTCGTTCACCATGCCAGCCCCCCTTGGGATTCCTGGACAACCGTTGATCTCCGTCGCCTCCTCTAGGATGGCCAGCCGGAGCAGCGACAAGGACGGCGACTCCGTCCACACGGCCAGCGAGGTCCCTCTGACCCCACGGACCAACTCACCGGACGGGAGACGCTCGTCCTCAGACACGTCCAAGTCCACCTACAGCCTGACCCGGAGGATTTCGAGTAAGTGTTCCCGCCGTGCCTGTGCGGTGGCCCTGGCTGGCAGAGGCGGGTGGCAGTCCAGGAGACGGTGGGGGGGAATAACGGCAGTGCGACAGAGAAGTGCATCGCCCCTGATTTCTGCTGAGTTTAGCCAGAAGCAGTCATTTTGATTGATGTTTGCTTCTATTAATTACGAGTTGGATCGAATTGGCTCAAATAATTGACATTATCAGTGTATATCGTTTCAGGTCCTCAGAGGTGGGTGTTACCATGCCCTGTAACAGAGTTTGCTAGTTCAGGTGACGTCGGTCGGGGGTCGGGCGGGTTGTGGCAGTGGCTGAGTGCAGAGGCTGTGTGGAGATAAACATTGCCCCAAGGCAGTGACAAACAGGGGCGCACGCTCTGCCCGGAGAGTCTACTAGGGCAGGGTGGGGACTGTGGCCAATTGGAGAGCTAGTGCCCCATTGAAAGTATCTCACTAAAATGTGTTTACATTGGTTACATGTGAAAATGATAGGATTTTGGTATAGTGGGCTACATAAAGTAAATGATTGCAATTCATTTTGCCTCTTTTCTTTGCACGTTTTAAAAGCCATGGCTGGCCGGGTGCGGTGGCTCATGCCTGTGATCCTAGCACTCTGGGAGGCTGAGGCGGGAGGATTGCTCGAGGTCAGGAGTTCAAAACCAGCCTGAGCAAGAGCGAGACACCATCTCTACTATAAATAGAAAGAAATTAATTGGCCAACTAATGTAGATAGAAAAAAAATTAGCCGGGCTTGGTGGCGAATGCCTGTAGTCCCAGCTACTTGGGAGGCTGAGGCAGGAGGATCGCTTGAGCCCAGGAGTCTGAGGTTGCTGTGAGCCAGGCTAATGCACAGGCTGATGGCACTCACTCTAGCCTGGGCAACAAAGTGAGACTCTGTCTCAAAAATAAATGAATAAATAAAGTCATGGCTGCCAGATCATGTTAAGTTTCACATGAGGCTTGCATTTCTGGCTCGCGTTGTATCTCTGCTGGTCTGGATGGTTTCTAAGTCTCGTGCCCAGCTCCAGACACAGGTGATTCGCATCCAGCACACACTGCTGAGAATACCTCCCGTGTGCCAGGCACGAGTCTCATGATTCTCGCTGGCGAGAGAGATGTTTGGGCAGCTAATGAGAGCTATAGGCTCGTTGCTGCGACAGGGGGACGTGCAAAGATTAGAATGAGGGACTTGGGAGCAGTGAGCTCTGCTGGCTGATGGAGGAGGGAGAGGCAGCCCCTGGCGATGAGGTCTGAATGTGACCACCCGTTATTCTTTATTGATCTCCTACTGTGGGCACAGGTTGTGCCCAGCCCTTTCCAGGCCTTGGCTCGGTGAATCTTTACCACAGTCTTTAAGGTTGGTGCTGCTATTGACTCTATTTTACAGATGGGAAAACTGAGGCCCAGAGAGTCTATCTAAGTAATGTGCCCAGAGTCACACGGCTCATTACTAATGAGTCACACGTCTACTCTCTTAAAAGTGGAGGCAGCATGGCCGGGCGCGGTGGCCCACGCCTGTAATCTTAGCACTCTGGGAGGGCGAGGTGGGCGGATTGCTCGAGGTCAGGAGTTCGAAGCCAGCCTGAGCAAGAGCGAGACCCCCCGTCTTTACTATAAATAGAAAGAAATTAATTGGCCAACTAATATATATCGAAAAAAAAATGAGCCGGGCATGGTGGCACATGCCTGTAGTCCCAGCTACTCGGGAGGCTGAGGCAGGAGGATGGCTTGAGCCCAGGAGATTGAGGTTGCTGTGAGCTAGGCTGATGCCAGGGCGCTCACTCTATCCTGGGCAGCAAAGCGAGACTCTGTCTCAAAAAAAAAAAAAAAGAAAAGAAAAGTGGAGGCAGCATGGGTAATGGTTAGAGCCACGCTCAGACGGGCCAGGCTTGTAAGGCTCCTGCACTTACAAGTGTGTGACCTTCGTTAAGCCACTTAAAGCTTCCGCCTCTTCACCTGTGACCTAACACAGGCAGTTTGCATAGGGCGGCACCCGGTGCCGAGCTGCTGTGCGGACGGCAGTGGTAGCAGTGGCCCCGTGAGTGGCGGCAGTGGCCCCGTGAGTGGCTGCTGACCTCACACGGCGCCCGGGCCGCCCCGTCCGCGGCGGGTCTTCATTGCTGTCTCTGCTGGCCGTTTAGGTCTCGAGTCCAGGCGACCCAGCTCCCCGCTCATCGACATCAAGCCCATCGAGTTCGGCGTGCTGGGCGCCAAGAAGGAGCCCATCCAGCCCTCGGTGCTCCGGCGGGCCTACACCCCGGACGACTATTTCAGAAAGTTCGAGCCGCGGCTGTACTCGCTCGGCCCCGGCAGCGACGACGTGGACTCCCTGACGGACGAGGAGATCCTGTCCAAGTACCAGCTGGGCATGCTGCACTTCAGCACCCAGTACGACCTGCTGCACAACCACCTCACCGTGCGCGTCATCGAGGCCAGGGACCTGCCCCCGCCCATCTCCCAGGACGGCGCGCGCCAGGACATGGCGCACTCCAACCCCTACGTCAAGATCTGTCTCCTGCCCGACCAGAAGAACTCCAAGCAGACGGGGGTCAAGCGCAAGACCCAGAAGCCCGTGTTCGAGGAGCGCTACACCTTCGAGATCCCCTTCCTGGAGGCCCAGAGGAGGACCCTGCTCCTCACCGTGGTGGACTTCGACAAGTTCTCGCGCCACTGTGTCATTGGGAAGGTGTCCGTGCCTCTGTGTGAAGTGGACCTGGTCAAGGGCGGGCACTGGTGGAAGGCGCTGATCCCCAGTTCTCAGGTAAGGGGTGGCTTCTCGGTGTCCCCTCCCGGGAGCTTAAAAAAAAAAAAATGATGATTTTAATTTTATTTTACTGGTCAAAAACAAAAATTTTTTTAATTTTAGTTTTAAAAGTTTTATTTTGAAATAATTTTCAACTCGCAAGAAGTTGTAAAAATAGGACAGAGAATCCCTGTGTCCTTTTGCTCTGGCATCCCCCACGATGACATCCTACACAACCAGAGCGTGTTAGCCACGCTAGGAAATGACGTCGGTGGCTACACTAGACTTTACTCAGATTCTACCCGTTTTTACACGCACTGCTGTGTGTGTGTGTGTGTGTGTGTGTGTGTGTGTGTAGTTCTGTGGAATCTTATCACATGTGTAGATTCACATCCCCACCACCACTCAGGGAGCTTTTTTGTCACTGATGCTGAGTTATTTAATAAGGAGAATGATTGTCTCGAGTATAAAGCCATCAGTCATTTTGACTTTCAGAAATTGATTTGGGGGGGAAAAAATGAGGACTGGAGAACAGGATGATGCATGGATGTTTTTCAGGCAAAGTGTTCGATTGCCTTCCTTCCCCTGGGCAGCCCAGGGGAGCCACCCACGGACCGGGCTGTGTGTCCAGTAGACCTCTGGACATTCGGAGCCCCGGGGAAGGAAAAGACCCAGCCAGCAGGAGGCCGATCTAGCCCATCCACGCTGGGGACAGCAGTCAGTCCTGTGTGACGCAGGCCGGTTCTTTTGCATCGAACACAGTGAGGCGCTTCTCAAAGCTGGGCTCTGTTGGCCAGGGATTTGGTGGCACAGCGTCACATTTGGGGGACTGTCTCCCTGTCAGAGCGTGTGCCTGGGCACGCGTGCATGTGTGTCTGCATCTTCCGAGATAGGAGATTTGTTCTTCTCTTAGTTTGGATTCCCCAAGAGGAAGACCCTGAGGCGAGGGAGGTCATTTCTTAGGCAGGTGACACCAGGGGGGAGTGGTCACATAAAGGGTGCATTATCAAGCTGGCTACCGTTGGGGGGACTGGACTGTCAACCTCCTGTGTACAGGACACGCCGCTGGGAGAGGGGGCGAGGGAGCTGGCGTGTTTGTACCCCAACACCTGCCAGTCACTGGGGTGAATTCCCCGGCACTTCTGGCCTTTTGCACTGCCAGGTAAAGAGACCTCTGGCATCCACACGTGCAAAGTGACGCAGGAGCTGGGGCTACACACCCGTCCCGTCCCGTGCGCGCCGAAGTGGTGAGGGAGAGGGGACGGCGGGCAGGGCGTTGGCAGCGTCGGCTGTGACCCCAGACTAGAGCCGCAGCCGTTCCTCCGGGTGGCCTTCCTCCCGCCACACGGCCAGGACCTGTGGGTGCTTCCTGGGTGTCTTCCTTGGAGCTTGATATCATGAGTTTTCAAAGAGTCCTCCCATGTCAACCCTGTAGAAACTTACAGGAACGGCAGACAGTGAAGCACAGGAGTGGGGACTCGGCCGCCATTGGGTTCACCAGAGTCACCTTTCCGTGGGGAGCCACCGGGGGTGGCGTGTAAAGAAAATGGCCTTGGACGCGACCCCCCCTTGCTTCCTAGCTGCGCCCAGGGGGTCCCTCTGCTTCCTCACGGGTGAAGTGGGGGCTCGGACACGCCTGGCAGGGCTGAGGTCAGGCCTCCGTGAGCTCGCCCCGCCGGGGCCTGCTGGGTGGGGGCTCCCCACGAGCGGCGGCCCTGGTTGTCAGGAGGGGACGTCTTCTGTCCCGAGCCTGTTGGCAGCGGGCCCGTGGCGCTCCGCTGTCCTGCGTCCTCCGCGGCAGTCGCACCTGGTGAGCGTCCAGCCGGGCGGCCGGGGGCCCACAGCGTTTCTGATCGTTTCTGGCACCGTGCCTTCTTGGAGCAGAGGAGCTGGCGTTTCGTGCGCTGAGCTGATCTGGGGACTGTCGGAGAGAGACAGCTGGGCCTGTCTTATGTCACCGGGCGCAGGCTTCTCCCAGACGGAGGGCTGGCTGGCGCCTTGGTTTCACGGGGACCTTCGGGTGCCTCTGCGAATCAAAACTAGGTATAAAATGGAAATATTTCAGGCAGGTCAACTGCTCTGATCACTCATCTGGTCTGTCACAAGGTCTTCCAGCCTTGTTAATTCCCTCTCTGTGGGTTTCAGTCTAAATCCCTGCTGTGAATTCCTTACATCCCTCTCTCTTGATTGAGATGCATAATTTCTTAGTATTGCTCAAACGAAATTTTGGAAGAGTCATCTCGATCCTTAAGATATTTGTTTTCTTTCTCTACACCTCTTCTTTGTTATTCTTTGTTCTTTCTTTTTTTCTGGTTTGCTCATTTTTTTTTTCCCTATTTTTCTTGCAGTCCTGTTATGTGCTGGGGATCTCTAGTTGGATTAGTGAAATGAATATCATGGAGTTCCCATCAGTGAGAAACTCCCAGTCTAGGGGGAAGATAGGAAAACAGCAAACCATTATTAATACAGTGTGCTGCACACGGCGGTAATAGCAGTACAGCCGAGACTCATTTTATTAAGAGTGGTCAAAATTGTCCGGGCTCATTGGGAGGCTGAGGCAGGAGGATCGCTTGAGGCCAGGAGTTCGAGACCAGCCTGAGCAACAGTGAGACCACGTCCCTACTAAAAGTAGAAAAATTAGCCAGGTGTGGTGGCATGCACCTGTAGTCCCATTTACTTGGGAGGCTGATGCAAGAGGATCACTGAGGTCAAGAGTTTGAGGTTGCTGTGAGCTAGATGGATACCACAGCACTCTGGTCCGGGCAACAGAGTGAGACTGTGTCTTAGAAAAAAAAAAAAAGAAGACCGGGCACAGTGGCTCATGCCTGTAATCCTAGCACTCTGGGAGGCCAAGGCGGGCAGATTGCTCAAGGTCAGGAGTCCGGAAAAAAAAAGAAGAATGGTCAAAATTGACTGAATCTTTCCTAGGAAGGCGCCATATTGGAGACTGCGGCACCATCACTCAGTAATCCCAACACGGTGTGTCCTCCACCGCGGGACTGGATCAGGGTGTGCTCAACTGAGTTTAGGGAGCAATGTATTTTAAGAAGGAGTTTTAAATGTTGATGAAATCTACTTGGGGGTGGTCACGCTAGATGAACACCGGCATCATACTTAGGCGAGAAGCTTGCGCAAAGAAAGGCACGTGGAGACTTTGAGGGAAGACCTCACGGCCATCACCCGTGTCACGCCTCCTCTGGACCTGATGCTTTCCTGGGGCGGAAAGGCCAGTTGTCTTTGGTTGGGTTCCCTTGAGACAGAGCCTGAGACAGGGGCTTGCACGTGCGCGAGTTTGCTAGGGCTGCCCTAACGAGGCAGGACACATTGCATGGCTTAAAGCCACAGAAATTGGCTGTCTCACCGTCCTGGCGGCTAGGCGTCCAAGCTCGGGGGTGGGCAGGGCCACACTCCCTCTGGAGCCTGTAGGGGAATCTTCCCGTGGCTCTTCCTAGATTCTGGCGGTTGCTGGCAAACGTAGGCATGCCTTGGCTTGCAGCCGCCTTGCTCTGCTGTCTCATGGCTGTCTTCGCCCCCTGTGTGTCTGGGTCTCTGCTCTTCTTCCAAGGACATCCGTCATATTGGATTACGACCCACCTTATTCCAGTGTATTTAATTAACTTAAAAAATTACACTTGCAATCACCCTATTTCCAAATAAGGTCACATTCTGAGGTACTTAGGGGTTGGGACTTCACCCTGTCCTTTTGAGGGACCCGATTCAACCCATCCAGGGTGCTTGAGAAAAACCTGCAAGGGAGAGAACAAAACGGGATGGGGGAAGGGTGACAGCCAAGCCAGGGTGTGGCCTCAAGTCACACCTGGCTTCAGCCCAACCTATGTGGAGAGGGGACTCTGGATGACAGGCTTGCCCTGCAGAGCTGTTCCCCTCCAGGCAGGGGAGCCGGCCTTTTGTACCCCTGCATCAGCTAGTCGTTGGCTGTGAACCCCCCTGGGGAATCTGATTTCTAGCTGAGTGGCCATGGGCCTACCCAGAGCTCTTACTACTCAGAACATGCTTCTGCAGCAGGGACGACTTGGAGACGTTCTGGGTTCTATGGGTGGGAGAGCGCTACTGGCGTCTATTGGGTGGAGACCAGAGATGCAACAGAACATCCTACAATGCACAGGATGGTCCTCTTCCCGGTCCCCTCCTTCCCACCCCCAACAAAGTTATCCAGCCAAAAACGCCAGTAGTGCTGAGCTCGAGAAACCCTGTTTGGGAAGAAGGGGAGAATGCGTGTTGAAGGGACATGACAGGCTGTGCCTTAACAGGCCAGCTGAGAGCCGGGCCAGTCCCTGAAGGGGGGGGAGTTTCAGCAGAGACAGTTGCTGGGATGGGGGGAGAGCCAAGGAGTGGAGGGTGTGAGCACCAGATGTCCAGGGAGCTGCTTTGCTTTTCGTTCCATATGTGGAAGAGGAGGTATTGGTCATGAACAAACACCCTCGTCAAACCACATAGTCTGTACTGTAGACAGAAGACAAAATTCTCACGCCGTGCACTGAAGCTGTTAGAATGAATGCAATTGCTCAGTTGCTTTGGAGGCTGGTGTCTGCTCTCACCAAACCGTTTGGTTGACTGGGAAGGGGAGGGTGCGGTTGTGCAATGATGTGTAAGACAAAATGATTCAGTTCCTTGTTTTCCGCCTGTGCTTATGGTATACGGTCAGAGCACCTCTGAGGGTCTGGTTCTGCTCATGCTTCTCTGCCTTGGAGAACCCTCGCAGAGGATGAATGGGTGGCTCGCAGGGCCAGCACATAGACCCCCTCTGACTTGCAGCAGGAATGTCCCATCTGTCTCTGCCTTTGAACATTGCATCTGTGATCTTGGCATTCAGAAAATTGGCGGCTAATGGAGCCACGGCATTTTTGGTCTTACGGACAAAGTTAGCCAGACTACAATGGGAACGAGGACACGGTGTGGGGGGACACTGATGTAGGCGTGAGATTGCACTGACCATTAAGAGAAATGCTGCTCACCTGAGCGAACTGAAAGCCATTTAGAGGGGAAGTCTGTGTAGG